AAGTGTTCTACATCTCTTCGAGAAATAAATTCATCCTTGTAAAAACAACAAATCTTTCGCTTTCTCCTTTTATGCCCAGCTGTACTCCAATTTAGTGCCACAATTATTCCGATCTCCTCCTGATCCGGCCTGACAACGGAAACAACTACGCCGGGCCCAAATTTCCACATGGCGATTCGGCATGTTGAGGACGGCAGCAAACCAAGTTGAAGAGCATTTTGACGACCACTCCGATGATAAAATACAGTAAATTTGAGATAAATATTCAATAAAGAAAAAATGCAGATTTTTAACGAAGAAATTGACGAGATTTCTTCGGGTAAAAGACAAATTTCCTAACATCTCAAGTGTCAGATCTAAGATGGGGTCACAACAAGGTCGCGCGTGTGTTGCACGTTTTCCGCTCTAACTTTTGATTGGCGCATAGAACAATGCTGAAACTTGGCCGTGAGGTATAAGACAGGGGAATGGGGAAAACAAAGCTAAAAAAAGTTGTGTTTGTCACGTTTCTCACAGTTTTTTTGGCGATTTTTGGGTTTCGGCCAATCAGAACGCTTGATTTAATTGAAATTAATGATTAAAAGTTAGCACCTTTTAATGACTTTTGCCGTTCGCCTGCCTACCTCTTACACGGACCATTACTTAAAAGTTACAGAAAAAATGTCGTTGACGCCGAGACCCATAGGTCTGCTGCTTATTGATCTTCAACGTGCCTTTGTGGATGGAATTTGGAGAATGGGTTTACCGGACGAGGAAGTTGAACCCATCAAGAAAAGCTTTGAAACCTGTGCTACGCTGTTAGGGTCTGGTTTACGGAACGTACCGATTCTGATGACCCGGTGTCCTTTTGAAGGAAATGACTTTGAGCTTCACGACAGTTTGACTTCCGTAGTGGAAAAAAATCAACGTTATGTTATCAAACCCAGCACCTCTGTGATGCATGCTCACGGATTCAGAGAGTGGGTGGAAACAGAATTGCTTCAACAGGGAATAAATACTTTGGTAATCGGAGGATGTACGACCACAAGCTGTGTGCGAGTCAGCGCAATCAGAACTCAGAAGCATTTTGCAAGCCAAGGTCTTCACGTTGTTGTGGATTTAAACTTATGTGGGGCTAGAAAGCGTAATTACGTCAAAAGGTGCCCCAGTTGTCTTGAATTGTATATGAAGTTTGGTGACATTGATTCGTCATATAATCGGCATTGCACTTGTGGTTGTGGTGGCATTGAAATGATTTCTCCTGTTGACAAAGCTGTGCAGTGCATGCAACAGGAGAATGTTGATGTCAAAGAAACATTTGACTGGAAGCCATACCTATCATAATGTTTCATCTTGTTTGATTGTTTCTTTACTGAAGAATGATTTCTCATCCTAATAGCTGAACTTTATTTTAAAAGTACTTTGGCCCTAAGGTGACCCTAAGTGACCAAGTCATACGCCAAGCAACTTCTTGAATGAGGCTATGTAGGCTGGATAGCTTTCGTGCCGACACAAAAAGCTCTCCAGTGTAGTATGAACAGCGATGGCACAGAACTGGAACAAGTTGATCAGACATGTCGAACAGCGTGCCAAAGTGGTTGGCCAATTAAGAAGTCTTGGTGAACTAAATTCGAGTCCTCGCTTTTGAATATTTACTTCCATCTCAGTGGATTCCAGTTTTTGCTACTACTTATTCAGTTCCAGTATGGTATGAATGCCTGTTCACACTGCTACACTAAAGTATGGCACAGAGCCTTTCTGATATGTGACACTCCACTTTCAAGATTGGCACAGCACAGCTTCGCTCCAGTACAGAAATCACCCCCAAATCACCTTTCTTATGTGTGAACAGAAGCTCTAACTGGTATGGT